GGGCGTTCTATTACTGCCAGTTTTGAGGTTAACACCCTCATCCCTCAATTCCAAGTTATTCATTGTCAACCTCGTGACCGCTTCCAGTTAGTGTCGGCTTGTCCAAACAACAAGATTGTGCAGTCTTTGAACCGGTATCCGCAACACATGTTCCAACCATCGAATTCCTCGGAGCACGATGTTGGCCAACCTTATCGTTGGTAATTCGCTGTTACCAATATACTTTGGTAATGCACCGAAGGCAACGGTTGTCCAAGACACTTTAGGCCCCGTACATCTGTCTGAAGAGGCTAATTCTCGCAGCCATAGAGTAAAACTGCGCTTATAGTGGCATTGCAGACTCGGCCTCTCAAGGAAAACCTGAGACCTCGTCGACGCCACAAGTGACGTAGCTTAACAAAAACGACCCGAGTCTTGCAGATACACGTTGATATTTCCTCCGTCAGTTTTCTTGAGCTGAAATAACTCCCAGGACAGGTAAAGTGATCGACAATTTCCAACTGGTGGCTGACGACTGTGAGAATAGATGTAGCCTGTTGTCAGTCTTGTAATTTTGCTTGCGAAGAGTTCCTTTCAGTCTTTGTGACGAACTTCGCTCGTGATGGCTATGCGGCCTAATGTTTTTGAGTAGACAGATTTGAGATTTATGTACTTTTCAGGCATATCGCTTCCTATTAGACAAGTCCAGAGAGCAGCTCGGTCCCCTGAATCAAACACAGCACACATGTCCAAAAAACAATAGTTGTTCTATTAAATGTTTTGCGTTGTTCATGAGTCTGATGGAGAATGAAAAGCAGCTCAACGCAGCTTCTTCCTGAGCGGAATCCACCCTGTTCTTCACAGTACATCATTCTCTTATCTAACTGTGTCTGCGAAGGACCAACGATGTGATTACCTTGGATGCAACGGAAATGAGATTACATATTTCCTCGGCGTTTGGAACAGTCGTGGCGGAGACCCTTGTTGAAAACAGATACGACTCCAGCCTAACGAATTCAGCATGCTCTCACTGACGCATGGTTTTGTTTTGTTGCCGGCCGTTTGGATTAGTCGGAAAAGCTTGTGAACTTTTCCGAAAGCATCGGCTAGCTCCATCTAGGAAGCCCTATTCACTCACCACCAGGTATCTCGGTTCTCTTTTAGGAGCCATGACAGTTCAGCTGAAGGGATGCTTCGATGGGTGTCACGCTGTGAGCCAGAGAGAGAACGTGCGGTTACCCAATGGTTGGCGGTGCGCTTGGTCTTCTTTAAGAGAACCCTGGTTGTCATTATTACAAATATCGATTCAAACATTATATCATAATAGCAGGCGTGTTATTTCCTACCAAATCACCTATCTACCACAACGGCTGTTCGCTGTTTCGTTCGATAGATGACTAGCTTGAAAAGGAGATTTAAAACATCCAACGACGCGAGATATTACTGTCATCAAATGCGATCGGTTAAGGTCAAAGTAATCTTTCCGCTATTTCAGGTGGGTTGGTCATTTAAGTCCTTCTAGTAATCACTTAGGCATCTCAGGAATCAGTTATATGTGGATTTGTCCATCGATAATCTTGTTTTAAGTAAATTATCTTCAATTAATCGTTTACCGTTTAAACTATAGATATTTCTGTACCCCCTAATTCATGGTTGCACTGTAAAACTACGAGTACTCTCAGTGGTGAATACCACTCCTCTGTGTAAGCCTAATTCTCTCTTACACCTGTCTCGTTCTCTTCTATCGTGCGAACAGGTATCTGCGTGAAGCAGTTTTGAGTTTGGATAAAAACGATCCGACGACAATGGAACATGGTCCACGAATTATCGGTCTCCTGACTCGTCGATTGGAGAACTTCTTAAATAGCATTGTCAACGGGACTGCGCCTGGCCTCTTGAAAGATCCGGCTTCCCTTCAATGTCGTGTTTTAAAGTTGCAGCATGCGGCCAAGTGGATTTTTGATAGCATGTCAAAAGCGAACTCGTGAAGCACAATCCCGATAACAGTACTTTCATACGAAGTAAATTATATATTCTCAATTCTTTTTGTATTATCCATACGTTCGTCATCATTTGTCCATGTCATTCGAGTCCTCATCTCCCGCCCCCCTCGATCGATCAATATCATGTTCCATTTTGCCGATTTCTGTTCATTTTTCCTCCAGCTTTGTTACTCTCCCTCCATTGTTTTGTTTTGGGTATTAC